TGATAACGAACGGGTATCCGGCGCGCGAAAGGGTACCAGCGTCCTCGTTGGTAGGGGACTTCTTGATTTCGCTGATGATTTTGGCGTATTTGGTATCGGTATTATAGCCGTGCACGAATTGGTCGCGCAGTTCGGGATCCATATGTGCTTCAGCGTGCACAAACCACACATCATCGAGAAATGCCTCGCCTTCTGGCTTCTCAGGCGGGTCTTGGACTGCTGCCAGACGGCTTAGGGCGTCCGGCACAAAGTTTTTCTTTCCTGGCAGGTGATAGACTTTGATGCCGAACTGTGACAGGTATACTGATGCGTTGAGCAAGCGCCTATTGGCCCTATCAATCGAGGTCGTCTCCAGCGTGCGCTTTTCCACGATATCTTTCGTAGCTGAATGGTCGGTGAGCACGATGACGACCTCCTTGGCAGCATGGACCATGGTGTGAAGCCGCTTCACTGCCCAAGCTAGGCAGGCTACCTCCATTTCCGACGGCCCATATCGCATCTCGGCCCGTGTCAGGAGCTTGCTGAGGAACAGCACGGGTTGAACCTGTGCGGATGGTATCAGGGTTCCCGGTGTCCATACGTAGCCGGGTTTGCAATGGAAGAGCATGACTCCAAATCCTCTCTCTAGTGATGCGTCTATCTGTATGAACAGACGACGGTTGGGGTCATGATGGTGGAGGATTGTCGGGTCTTCAGCACAGATAATCCCCTGTAGGGCTTTGAAGGACTCGAGCTCGGCTTGCGTGGGCTCGTAGTACGTGTTCCGGACAAAGGCCATGCGTTTCCCTGGGCTGCCGTTCACGACTCTCCCTTCCTTTCTCCCTTCTGCCAATAACGCCGTCTTGCGGTTCTGCATAGGTTCGGCGAGCTTAGCATAGTAGGGGATGAGGTGCCTGAGGAACCCAGTACCACCGATATACTGCTCGAGGGCCCTCAGGTTCCTTGGGAATGCTAGGTTCTTGAAGGCTTCGACTCGGTCTTTGGTGGTGGACATGCCGAGGCCGTCTACGCGGAAGCCAAGCAGCTCGACATTGGGATAGCCGACGAAGGACTTCGTAGGGGAAATGGCGATATTCTTGCTAAGGAAGAGTTTGAACACGGTTCTCAGGTGCTTGACGTGGTCTTTGAGAGTATCGGAGAAGATAATGATGTCGTCAATGTAGGCTCTGCAGTATGATTTGTGCTGGAACAACAGTTCATCCATGAATCGCTGTGTATAAGCTGGGGAGTTCCGAAAGCCCATTAGTGCAACCTTAGATCGCTCCATGCCCCTCGGGCTAATGAGCGTGAATCGATCACGATGCGGAGGGTAGACGCCGAACTGGTAGAAAAATGAGGTGGCGTCTACTGCGGTTTGGTACCCTTTGCCTCTCAAGGACGCTATGATCTCAGTTTGCAGTGGTAGCGGGTAGTTGTCGGGGACTGCAACGGCATTGAGCGATCTCAAATCAATCACAACTCGTCCCTTGGCTTCCCCGTGCACTTGTCGCCAGACGACGAACACTGGTGAGGCGAACGGCGTTGGTTCTCGTACCCATTCCATACGGTCTTGATTATGAAGCTCGCCGAAGACTTTGTCCAATACCTCTCTATCTCTGGGGCTCAGAGGATAGGATCTGTTGGCAACCTTCTGATTCTGCCAACCTTCGACCAATGGCACTTTCATCATGTCTTCTTCCGGGACCGTAATAAGTCCCTCATTGATCCACAGCTTCGGAAAGTCGGTGACTACCTTCTCGAGAGCATTGGCTACTTTGTCCGATGGGGCGTAAATGTGAACCCCGTTGCTGGTAACTCGCTCTGGTAATTCCGGGGACATGCGTAGGCCGAGAATGGAGTGCTTTTGGACGCCTCGAGGGATCTGATCGATGGTTGAAGGGTCTATGACGGCGAAGTCGGAGGAGTTGGGAGAGTCAGACTGCTGCGTCGACTGCGTAACGGTAGGCGAAGTGTGTATAGGGGTCGTCAGATCCTCAGGGACCGGCATAGGAGGCATGGTGACTTCGAACTGCCCAGCGTAGCTTGCCGGATTCTGGATAAGGTTGAACACTGTATCAGAGAAGGGAGTTGCAGAGTTGGTTCCGAAGTTGGAAGGCGTGTCTTTCGGGTACGCCGTGGTGTTGTTCTCAGGGTCTCGGCTGGGAGCGTATCCTTGCGCAATTGCTCGTACCATTGGCCCCATGCTAAACTCGGTGTTGATCGACGGATGTCCGATTATGACGCTTGAGTTCGGCGTGTAGGCGAAGTCGCTTGCCGCGGACGGGGTGCTCGTTGCGGCTGCTGTGGGAATGGCAGATGCGAGAGCGACGCCTACCGTCAGTGCTTTCATAGCATTGGACCAAGTGGAAGCGAAGAACCCGCTCTGTAGGTTCTCTTTGATGTGTCCGAGGACCGCACTAGCTGGGATAAGTATTATGCCTCCTGTGGTGTTGATAACCTGCACCACAGCCGGGGTCTTGTGGTCCATGATAGCGTTGACGGCGGCTCCATGTTTGGCTTCGAACAGGAAGTTTCGTCCCTTGGGCAACGGAACGTAGCGGGCGGGCACGTAGGCTTTCTGTCCTGGTAGCAGGGTAACCTTCTGCCTGGCGGTGACTTTTCGAACACAAGGGTTGGCTTGCGGTACCACTTCGAACTTGCACGAGAAGTCTAGGCATCGTATATGGATCCGGTGCTCCTCGTAGTCGATGACACTCCCGTGTGGGTCGATAAAGTCGTTGGCTAATAGGCAGTTGGCCGTCAAGCGCTCAATGACCCATGCGGACTTCGTGAACTTCAGCATCACATTGTTCCCCTGCTTGTCCACTCCAGGCACATAGAATGAGAAAGTCGCCCATTCCTTCATACCTGTCAGGCCTCCCACGCCGTCGGCTGTACCTTTACGCTTCTCGATTGAGTGCTCTAGGTTGTTGAGGAACCCTCTAGCGATAAACGACCTTGAAGCACCAGGGTCCGCACACAGTTCCAAGTCGTCCCCCTCAGGGTTGGCCTTAACTTGAATGCGTAAGTGCGTGTGACTAGACCTTAAGTTCCGGTCAATGTCCTCCGTGATAGATCGCGGTGCTTCCCTGATAGTGTATTTGACCTTTGCCGGAGGCGAGAGAGTGGCGGACGCTACAATGTCGTCGTCAAGTTCGTCCCAGGGCCTTATTATCTCTGGCTTGAGGTCTTCCCGAAGCTTTGCAGTGTCGGGGTTGTCCTCCATGTTGGTGATTTGGGCAATTTTTTTGGTCAGCTCTTGGCTACCCTTGGGGGCCGTTTTGCCAGATTTGGCGTCCTTGCAAACCTTCAGGTGCTGGAAGAGCTTATTCCTGGAAGGAAACACCTTGCGGCAATACCCACAAGTCCGTCGGGCTGGGTCTAGTGGTGAGATGCTTCGGAACCCTTCCATTTGCGTTGCCTTAAATGGCGTGCAGAGGCGGGTGTGTGCCTTCTTCTGATGCACGGTAGGCAGAGCTAGGTGACACTTGTAACAAGTGAGGTGGCGGTCGATAATGGAGCAGACGATGTCAGCCTCAGTCTCGTCGCTGCCAAGGGCTTGGTCGGACGTGTCAGCGTTGCCGTCAACCTCCGAGGCAAAATTGACGTGTTGACGACGGTCATCACGGTCACGCTTGTCGCGCTGATCATGTTCATCGCGCCGGTCGCGGCCATCACGGCGGAAGTTGTCTCGCTTGTCTTCCCGACGGTCGTCGCGCCGGTCACGTTTGTCCTTGTAGCGATCACGATTGCCGTCACGCTCCCGCGAGCGCTCTCTCTCGCTGGATTTGTCACGGTTGTAACGATCAGGGTACCTAGAACGACTCAAGGCATACTTATCAGACGAGCGAGATGAGCCCACGGCCCTGGACGAGTCATGCCGTGAAGAACGATCGGTCCGAGCGGACTCGAAGTCGACTTTCTTGGATAGGACCGCACTAGCTTGGTGGACAGTGTCGACTTTACGGCGGACGTAGGGATGTTCTTCGCGTGCTATCTTGGCGATGATAGTACGTTTGGCGTCGATTCGTGCCATGTACGAGTCGAATGTCTGGGTGCTCTCTGGGGGTGGCAGTAAGATACCAATATTGCTGTCGAGTTGTTCCCAGATATTCATCATAGGTCCATACCAGTTAGAATTGTCTGGCAAGAGGATCCCCATGTGTCTAGCCCATCGCATCTTCTTAGCGACATGCTTTTCCAGCGCGGTGTCGTCAGCAGCAATGTCTCGCAATTCGAGCTTGACGGTTGCGAAGTTGTTGGATGCGATGGATGGATTGGGCGGGAAACGTTCCTTAAGGGCGTTGAGCATATACATCAGTCCTCGCGAACGCATGTCCATGCGCTGAGCGGACGTGATTTGGTTGGTCCACCAGTACGAGGCAGGTCCAGCTAATAGGTTCTGCCAGATCTGAATGATCTGTTTGTCATTGGCTGCTCGCGTTTCACTGTCCTCTCTGAAGGTCTGGAGACGGTCGATAAATGCTTCTACGTCCGTGTACACGGTGTCCTTGCCTGATCCCACGATGCCTTCGTTGTTTGGGTCGTTGGCATGGAGATTGAACTGCCCGATATCATCTGACTTGATTCGGCTGGAACTGTGCACTGCGCCTCCGCTGGCGACATTGGTGTCGGTAGATGTGGATCTAATCGACCGCACCAGGGCCTCCGCGTCAATGAAGGTGTACTGTCCTGCAAGACCTGGGAAGGATGCGCCTCCGGGGCCACTGGCCACGGGGGTCGGAGCAGCTGGCGCGATAGTTTGGTTTGACTTCAAGCTTGCTATCTTCGACAGAATATCGGCCATGCTCTTGCTCATATTGTCATTGCTAGACTTGACTGTGTCTCTCAGCTTGTCGAGGTTATTGCTGACCAAGGAGATTTCCTGCTGGATTTCATCGATGTCCTCTCTCATGCTCACTTGAATATCGCTTATTCTACCACTCAGGCTTGATACTTCAAGCATGAGGTTGTTAACGGAGCCTTGTAGGGCAGTGGTCTCTCCTTTGTGCTTGTCGATAGTAGAGTGAATGCCACTGACTTCGCGCTTGGTCATGTTGGCATTGTTACGAACTTCCTGCGCCAGCCACTGGACTGACTTCTTGTCATTGATTAGTTCGGTAGGCCGGGCGATTCGGTACTCAATGCTGCCATCGGACAATTGCTCCGAGCTCAAGGTTCTGGACAGCCGGTTAAGATCTGGGTCAGGAGGGGATCCTTCTGGTGGCGCCGACATAATAAATGATGGTCGATGTCGAATTCCAGACGGACCGGCTTTCTCAAGGTAGATTTCCTCCTCGAGTTCGTCGAGGGTTTCCAGGAGTTGAGCTTGGCGGTATGGTATGTCTTCGGAGTCAGTGCTTAGGTCCGCTGCGGTACAGTAGGTATCGTCAGAGTCGTGGGGACCCTGTACCATACCACCTTAGCAATGAACAATTGACCAGATCGATCGTGGTGTGAGAGGACGACTGTGGAGGGTTGGAAAAACTGGCGGCTTTGTCAAGCGTGGCGGCCGCTGGATCCAGGTGTTGAGATGCCTCCGGTTTGTCAAGCGCCCCGGTGACCAAAAGAGTGATTCGGAATCAGGATGTGATCCACTGGACCAATTGATTTCGTGACAAGAGGAGAACCACCAGCGATTTGACAAGCGCCTCGCTGATGGGTTGATCTGTTTCTGGATTGACAAGCGCCCCAGATTGGATCGGTTGGTTCTCGCGATCGGTTTGACAAGCGCCCCGACCGTGAGGCTTTTCGCAACGGTTTGACAAGCGCCCCGCCGCAAAAAGGTGCCTTCTGCAACAATCTCCCCGGACAAGAAAAGACGTTGCGGAAGCTAGAAAAAAATGGTTTGGCTCTACTCAGGAGCAGTCGCTGCTACCATTTGAAGGGTGATCGTCACCTAGATCACGGAATGCGGTAGGCTATTCGTGAAAAGGTAGGTAAATTGATGATCGAGGGAGGAAGCTCGGGAGCACTGCCCTGCCGAGGACCTTAATGTGGTCCTTTGGTGGGGCAGACGCGGTCTAACCGCGTCAGGGTAAGCCCCGCTTCCCTATGTACCTATGTACTTAAATTACACGTGCCGGTCATATGACCTTGTCTTGGCGCTCCCTCGCTCAATCAGGCATCAAAGAGGTTGAAAAGGAGATTGAGAGAAAGATTAAGATAGAGATAGATAAGGAGAGAGGAGGAGAGGGAGGGTGAGGGAGAGGTGGAGGGGGAGGGTGAGGAAGAGGTGGAGGTAGAGAGAGGGTGAGAGGTGGAGGGGGAGGGTGAGGAAGAGGTGGAGGTAGAGAGAGGGTGAGAGGTGAAGGTAGAGGAAGAAAGAAGAGAGAAGAAATAGTGTTAGAGAGAGGGTGGGAGGTGAAGGTAGAGGAAGAAAGAAGAGAGAAGAAATAGTGTTAGAGAGAGGGTGGGAGGTAAAGGTAGAGGAAGAAAGAAGAGAGAAGAAATAGTGTTAGAGAGAAGGTGGGAGGTGAAGGTAGAGGAAGAAAGAAGAGAGAAGAAATAGTGTTAGAGATAGAAGGGAGATAGAAAAGATATAAGAAGAAAAAATGAGTTAGAAAAAAAAAAGGGTTTAATGAAAAGGGTAGTGATATAGGTTGAAAGAGAAGTGTTGAAAAGTGGGATTTGGAAAAAAAAATTAAAAGAATTTGAGAAAGGAAAAGTAGGTTGAGAAATGGGAAGAAGAAGAAAAATAAGGAAAAAATTAGAAATGGTGAGAAGAAAAGAGAAGTATATTGGTGCTTTAGGGTTAGGTTTAAAGATTTTTCGAAGGAAAAAATTATAATATTAAATGGATCCTATATATATGACACTTTTTATTAAAATTTATAAATATTAAATTTAAAAATCCCATATATAATCGCGTATAAGATATATCCTTTTATTAAGATCTTTGAACGTTCAGACTATTACAATCTCGGCTTTACAAGATGCTGAAATGCTCAAGCGCTCAGGCTACTACGATCTCGGCTTCAGAAGATGCTGAAATGCTGCAGCGCTCGCAGCAGAACCACGATCTCGGCCTCAAGAGATGCTGAAATGCTGCAGCGCTTGCGCTACCACAATCTCGGCTTCACAAGATGCTGAAATGCTGCAGCGCTCGCAGCAGAACCACGATCTCGGCCTCAAGAGATGCTGAAATGCTGCAGCGCTTGCGCTACCACAATCTCAGCTTCACAAGATGCTGAAGCGCTCGGGCCACCACGATCTCAGCTTCACAAGATGCTGAAATGCTCAAGCGCTCGGGCCACCACGATCTCGGCTTCACAAGATGCTGAAATGATCAAGCGCTCGGGCCACCACGATCTCAGCTTCACAAGATGCTGAAATGATCAAGCGCTTGGGCCACCACGATCTCAGCTTCACAAGATGCTGAAATGATCAAGCGCTTGGGCCACCACGATCTCAGCTTCACAAGATGCTGAAATGATCAAGCGCTTGGGCCACCACGATCTCGGCTTCACAAGATGCTGAAATGCTGCAGCGCTCGCGCCACCACGATCTCGGCTTCAAGAGATGCTGAAATGCTGCAGCGCTCGCGCTACCACAATCTCGGCCTCAAGAGATGCTGAAATGCTGCAGCGCCCGCGCCACCATGATCTCGGCTTCACAAGATGCTGAAATGCTGCAGCGCTCGCGCCACTACAATCTCGGCCTCGAGATGCTGAAATGCTGCAGCGCTCGCGCCACCACAATCTCGGCCTCAAGATGCTGAAATGCTGCAGTGCTCGCGCCACCACAATCTCGGCTTCACAAGATGCTAAAATGCTGCAGCGCTCGCACCACCATGATCTCGGCCTCAAGAGATGCTGAAATGCTGCAGCGCTCGCGCTACCACAATCTCGGCCTCAAGAGATGCTGAAATGCTGCAGCGCTCGCGCTACCACAATCTCGGCCTCAAGAGATGCTGAAATGCTGCAGCGCTCGCACCACCACGATCTCGGCTTCAAGAGATGCTGAGATCCACGACTTGGGTAAAGAAAGATATGTAAGTTAAAAGTACTTATCTTCACGTATTTTCTCGTCCTGATTAAATGATACTCATTGAGTTGAAGTGCGTAGGTTTATACGCGAGTATACGAATACGATCGCGATCAAAAAAGAGTTGTGATGGAGTTGGAGAGGGTTATTGTTTTTAAAAGGCGGCGCGTACGCGTTATTATACCGAATTTTTCAGGACCCACCGTGTCACGGTCGCCACTGGGGCTCATTTAACAGGATTGATTCTATTGGCTGCATTGTTTTTTGAGTGTGCCCTGTGCGTAACCCACGTGCTCAGCCTTCGGCTCGTACCACCACCCATTTCCCTGCGCCCTACGTGCGATAGCTTCCTCTTTCCTTCCTTGGCTTTAAATCCACATTCGTTACTGCATTTAATCTTTGACTCCCCATACGAGCCGTCACAGAACGTAATCGGAACGCATTATCTCTATAATCAAAGAAGGAAGTAGTGCAGCGCCCCTACGCTAGTGCTTGGTCTATGTGCTCAGTCTGCCAAGGCCAACTGAGCTCTCGATGCTAACTGAGCATCCCCCCAATTGGCTACGTCCGCAGTGCTCAGTGCTCCACAGCACGCTCAGCCTGCCAAGGCCGACTGAGCTCGCAGTGGTAACTGAGCGCCCTCCCGATTGGCCGCATCCTGCTCAGTGGCTCTTTTCTGTCTTGGCGGCGCAGGCGGACTGAGCACCGCCCGGATTGGCCGCGGGGCTGCGAAGTGGGGTCACCCCACTTCTCGGCACCCGCCAATCCGCACCCAGTCCCGGGGCGCCTCCTGCACGAGCCAGGATCGTAACACTGTGCGCTCTGTCAGGGCGACAGAGCGACCAGAGCGCTTCCGGATTGGCCGCACCAACCCTGGGGGGAGCCCCGCTCCCCTGATCGCTCCAGCCAATCTGCAGCAGACTCGCGGCACCTCCTGGACTCTTGAGCAGGATCGTAACAGGTACTATAAGAAGGCGGTACACTTTGCCCTGCATCGTGGCTAATCTTTGACTAGAAACAGCGCGGGTAGTATCGTTGGAAAGCCGTATTTCAGGGCTTTCGAATGGTACTTTATTTCGCTTCTTACGTGGATGTAGGAAGGCTATATAGTAGATTGAAAGTAAATCGAGAAAAAGGTCTGAACGTTGAAGTCTCTAAAGGCGTAGACCAGTGGTTGGCGTCGGTATTGTGATTAGCTTAGGCCCGAAGCATCTTAGCCAGCAAGTTGCTCGGAGGTACACCCGGAGTTCGGGCCGGCATTTGGGATACGCCGGCATCACCATCAACGACGCCATTATGATCAGAATGCATTCAAACTTTACAGACGGCTTACAGGGCGTAGGACTTACCTTGTTTCAAATTTTCAAGCCACTTGGTCTGGAAATACATAACATCAATTTTTGAAACTTGAAGAATTAAGAAAGCTGACATAAAGTATTCCCTTCAGCTCTCAAAAATCAGAATTGAACAACCACAAGATGAAAAAATGATCATAAGATAGGTCTTTTTCTGAAGATTATAACGCATCTTTCGGGGGCCTTCAAACCCAAGGTAGGCTTTCCACGGCGACAAATACGTCGGCCAGTGGGAAGGAAAAGCGTGGTCATACTATATCTCTAGATCTTGACGAATTCTTGGTCGGTTGATATACACTCTACAAATTTAAATGGGCCTACAAAGCTTCTATATTAATCCAAATGACATCTACGCGTATGCGGTGCTTGTTGTGTTATATGTAATTAAATTTGTTGATGTGGTCTTTGACGTTATTGCTCCTATTATAAGGAACACACCCGATTTTAATGTTCATTTATAACTCTATGAGTTTATTAAATTGAACGTACTCCTTTAAATTAGAAAGCCCTGAATGCTCTTATTCTGCAGTCTAAATTTTAGCTGTACGTATGTAGTTATTGTTATTGCAGTTACGAGAAAGCATCTGCATATCGGTGTGATGTGTTTTTCCCGAGACCCCGTTACCCCTATCGCCTTACAAAATGCCAGAACATTACCACAACGTTATTCCAAATCTACGTCCTTCTACAATAATAATGTATATATAAGTACTCATGACATATGCACTAAGTAGGACCTACGGTCCACTACTATAAGTACGACATCACGTCGCCCAAGACCATCGCGGCCGTAGCGTAGTCGATTCGCGCCGAGGTGTGCGCGCCGACCGTCATCAATAACGCCGGGGTGGTGCAGGGGCGAACGCTGCTTGACACGAGCGAGCGCGACATCCGCTTCACCTTTGACGTCAACACGTTCACGTACTACTAGATCGTGCGCGAATTTTGCCCTCACTAATTAAGGCGGACTACGGCATGGTGGTCACCGTAGCGTCGGTCGCTGCGTCGGTCGCTGCGTCGCAGAGCTTCTACGAGGGGCTCGCGGCCGAGCTCAAGACGCGGTACGGCGCGCCGCGCGTGCGCACCGTGGTCGTCAACTAGGGCTACACGCGCACGCCGCTGTTCACGGGCTACCAGAACGACAGCCCGTGGCTGATGCCGGCGCTCGAGCCCCAGACCGTCGCCGACGCCATCGTGCGCCAAGTCCTCTCGGGCACCTCGGGCCAGCTCCTGCTGCCCACCATGGCCAACGCCCTGCCCCTGTTGGGCGCCCTGCCGCATTGGTATTCGACGCGCCTGCGCTTGAAGAACGAGACCTCATGGCCAAGTTTGCCGGTCGCAAGGTTGTGGAGGATGTCGACAAGTTCTACGAGGCCAAGGAGAGAGAGGTCGACGTGGGCTAGAAATTCGTATTTTAATGGCAGCCGCAGCTGGTGCCCAGTGCTTGTGGCGGAGGCTGCCATTCCCCAAAGTGCCGTCTTGGCACTCCAAATACTGGGGATCCAGCAACAGCGGCACCTTGACAAACGTATCTGTCAGCTTCACCAGCGTCGGCTAGCCTAGACTCTGAGATCCAGACTGCCGGCTAATCCTACCATGCGCATCCAGTTGCTTGTCGGCGGCGGCTCTCCTACATGGGTCATGGAGCGAGCGCTTGCGTCGACAGCGAGGCGCGGAGGCACAGGGCACTACGTAGTCACGATAGACTCGCAAACCAGCGCCAAGCCCGCCCCTCTCGTAAACGCGTTTTATGCGGGTCGGGGGCCCGTGTTGGGGATGCTGCCCTTCCAGGTCCTGGCTTCCCGGTCCTGGCTTCCCGGTCCTGGCTTCCCGCGCGAATAGGACAGTCGCCGCGCCGCGTTCTTTAACGGTGCGGGGTTACTTCTGAGCGAAAAGGAGTTTGGAAAATGGGTTTTCTCCTTGGTCAAATCGACAATTTTCATCGAGAGAACCAAGAAAGGCGGGGTTATTTCTAAGACAACCAAGGCCAAGCAGTAGTGACGGAAGCCACTAAAGCCACTGAAGCCACTAAATATTTTGGCGCATTCCTTACCATTTCAGAGCGACGCCATAAACTACCAAGCGGATTCTTTTCCTCTTCTTTATTTTATTCCATAACCATAATCCTACCCATCATTACCACCACTCCTACTATGGATCCAGCAACCCAAACGACGCAAACGAGTGGTGGAGGCGAAATACCCCAATATACTCTCAAACAGTTCAACTCAGAGTTGAAGCGTCTTTTTGTCCACGTTTACAAATCGCTACAGCCCGAACATCGTTCCACCGCACTCCGCGAAATTGATATATTCCTACGAAGCGCGCGGAAATCAGGAATTGGGGAATCTCATAACGGTATGTATATTTTAAATTAGTTTCTAGCTATCACAAAATAACAGGTTCTTTCCAGGATCCCAGGACGGTACCCAGTACGACGATCGTGGGGACGGTACCCAGCATAACGAACCCTCTCAACACGACAGCGTCGCAGCATCTCGACACGACAGCGTCGCAGCATCTCGACACGGCAGCGTCGCAGCATCTCGACACGGCAGCGTCGCAGCATCTCGACACGGCAGCGTCGCAGCATCTCAACACGGCAGCGTCGCAGCATCTCGACAAGGCAGCGTCGCAGCATCTCGACACGGCAGCGTCGCAGCATCTCGACAAGGCAGCGTCGCAGCATCTCGACACGGCAGCGTCGCAGCATCTCGACACGGCAGCATCGCAGCATCTCCACACGGCAGCATCGCAGCATCAGAGGACGACATCAACACTAACGATAGTGATGATAATAACGAGGAAGAACTTGGTACAAGCAGCGGTCGCAAGAGAACTGCTATATCCAGTATCAAGCCGAAAGCCAAACGGCAGAAGAAAGCCGAGGTGTCCACACTTAGCCAGCTTGTCGAGAATCTTCAAGCCCAGGATCCCCTTATCATCCACCAGAAGTGCTATCGGCCCTGCTCTGCCGTCCAGACCGTTAGCGATAAGGTTCTGGAGCAGCCCGAGATGGCCGACCGAGAAGACGAGATTTTAGCAGTCCTCAAACTACTCAGCCATATATTTGGCCAGAATGGGTGGAACCACTGCCGGTCACTGTACAAAGAGTACTACATGAGGCGCAAGGAGCACAAAACCGCATTGACGATATCGACAACCATTACTTCCAAGCTCCGGGAGCTGGGTTGTACGACATTATTCCGGTTTGTAACATTATGGAGCGACATAAAAGTAGAAGAGGCTGGAGGTCCAAAGTGCACAGACTTGCGACACCTCAAGGCCCACCTTGAGCTGGTCCGAATTTGGGAATCCATTAACTTACAGGACGCGAACCGGTTAGACGAGCTCAGAGTCCTTCGCTGTTCTGATATCTTCCAGAAATTCCTCATCGACAAGAACCTCATGGGTAAACGGGGCAGCACGCGCCAGTCACAACTAACCTCGTTCGTTGCACACCAATTGGGCATTACCAATAAGAAATTCACCATCACTGCCTCTCGCTACAAACCCCTTCTCACCTTGGTTCGGCATTTTGGAGAAGGAGTGTTGGCATTCGTACCTCGGAGCAGCCTGCTTGTACGCTTCCGTCGGGTACGTACCGTAGCAGCAGCAAAAGAAGAAGAGCAAGGGCTTTCCACAATCATTACAAGGATGAAGCAGGAGTTTCCTGGTATCTCCGACCTCTGCTCTGAGGCACTAGGCAACTTGGTAGAGCCTATCCTTGAACAGGGGGACCTGCCGCCAACTTTGGGCCTCGCACTTCTAAACGCGGGGGAGATGTCAACGTTCCATTCCAAGGGTGTATGGGAGTTGGTGACGAATGGAGCTAATACGAACCCTAATCCAAGGGTCACCGAATTACAAGACGAGGATGGATCGGAGGCTGATAATGGGGGCGGAGCTGAGGAGGGAAACCTCTTCTCTGATTCAGATTAGAGACCACCCGGAGGGTGCCGAGAGGATATTACTGGGGTAATTATTCATTTGAAGCATCATGAGACTGGGAGCCATTCCATCGGGAGTGGCAGAAATCCGAGGTCTCGCCTTTGCATCGTGGCGGCGCTAGGAGGGGCTGAACAAACCTTAACGCCATAAACGCAGCCTAGAGTAGAGGCCTTCCAAGGCCGGGGACCCTCCAAGACCGGGGACCTTCCAAGGCCGGGGACCTTGCAAGGCCGGGGATCTGAGCATCATGTGAGACTGGGAGTGCGGTCATTCCATCTGCGGAGTCGGGAAATGCAACGTCTCGCCCTTCGTATCCGTAGCGGGGCCGGGGGGCTGGGAAATGACTTTAACGCCACAGACGCGGATGAGAGTGGAGAATCCTAGCCGGGAGATTTGAGTCGCAGAGATATGAGCGTTGCCTTAGCGCTTATTCTATCTATGGAGCCGAAATGCGAGTTCTTGTCACGGGTAATAGGATTTAACGGACAAATGCCATTAATATGCCATATTTAATTAGTGTCACGGCCGGCTTGGAATGAGGGCAGAACTCCTCTATTGGGCGCTATAGACGAAGATTCTAAACTAAAGGGAAAAGGGAAAAGAAGCTCAAAAGCCTCCCCTCGCGAGATTCTTCCAGGACGTCTCAAGGTGGGGCTCTGGCTGGTCGGGTGGATCCACCCAACTGGCGTCTGATTAGTCAGAGCGTCTGGGAGGCCTGGAGGACCAGGCCCTCACAATTAGTGTAAAACTAAGCTAGGGAAGAAAAAGAAAGAAGGATCACGAGAATTGCGACCGGTGCCAAAAGGTTTGTGGGCGAAGTTTGCGTGTGACCCACACGCTAAGCCTAATTGGGCTTTTGGGAATGGTGACATCACACGGCCAGCGTCAATGAACCCACCTGTGCTGTGCCGTGACAGGTCTCGCCCTTCGCATCCGTGGCGGCGCTGGGAGACCTTCCAAGGCCAGGAAATCTGAGCACCATGTAAGACTGGGTTTACGTCATTCCATCCGGGAGCCAAGGAAATACGAGGTCTCGCATTCGTATCGTGGCGGCGCTAGGAGGGGCTGAATGGACCTTAACGCCACAAACGCAGCCCAGAGTAGAGGCCTTCCAAGGCAGGGAATCTGAGCGTCATGAGACTGGGTTTACAGCCATTCCATCCCGGAGCCAAGGAAATGCGAGGTCTCGCCCTTCGCGTCCGTGGCAGCGCTAGTATCACGGCTCAGTCAACGTAAGGAGACAGGGCTGCAGTAATCATTGCTGAATTCGTAGAATCTAAAGATGAAGAAGGAAGCTATGGCAGAGACCGCGCAGGACGCGGGGAAATAGGTGGTTGTGGGCCACGTGCACGTCATGCACGGGCCATGCCGTGACAGGTAGGAGATCTTCCAAGGCAGGGAATCCGAGCATCATGAGACTGGGTTTACAGCCATTCCATCCTGGAGAAATGCGAGGTCTCGCCCTTCGCGCCCGTGGCAGCGCTAGGAGATCTTCCAAGACAGGGAATCTGAGCATCATGAGACTGGGTTTACAGCCATTCCATCTCGGGGCTAAGGAAATGCGAGGTCTCGCCCTTCGCGCCCGTGGCAGCGCTAGGAGATCTTCCAAGACAGGGAATCTGAGCATCATGAGACTGGGTTTACAGCCATTCCATCCTGGAGAAATGCGAGGTATTGCCCTTCGCGCCCGTGGCAGCGCTAGGAGATCTTCCAAGACAGGGAATCTGAGCATCATGAGACTGGGTTTACAGCCATTCCATCCTGGAGAAATGCGAGGTATTGCCCTTCGCGCCCGTGGCAGCGCTAGGAGATCTTCCAAGACAGGGAATCTGAGCATCATGAGACTGGGTTTACAGCATTCCATCCTGGAGAAATGCGAGGTCTCGCCCTTCGCGCCCGTGGCAGCGCTAGGAGATCTTCCAAGACAGGGAATCTGAGCATCATGAGACTGGGTTTACAGCATTCCATCCTGGAGAAATGCGAGGTCTCGCCCTTCGCGCCCGTGGCAGCGCTAGGAGATCTTCCAAGACAGGGAATCTGAGCATCATGAGACTGGATTTACAGCCATTCCATCCCGGGGCTAAGGAAATGCGAGGTCTCGCCCTTCGCCTCCGTGGCAGCGCTAGGAGATCTTCCAAGGCAGGGAATCTGAGCATCATGTGAGACTAGGATTACTGTTATTCCATCCACGGAGTCGGGGAAATGGAACGTCTCGCCCTTCGCATCCGTGGCAGTACTAGGAGACTTTCCGTAGGGTTAACCTTACTACCTGTGACGGCGTTTAGCAACCCACTACCGCTGCACCACACCTTCCAAAAGGATGCCAGAATTACAAGCCGTCAGGCTGCAATTCTATAGTGGGTTATAGCATGGTCACGCACCCGTAGGGCCTCAGCGCCTACCGCCGTGCCGTGACACTGCCACAAAAGCGTTTACAAGACTTCCTGATCTGAGCATCATATGATGCCAGGATAATTTGTAAGGGAGCTACGGATATCACTGTATCTCGCGGGTTGTATTCCATTTCACTACTGTATGTACGGCTGTTGTACCTTCGGGTTTATATTAGGTTTACACTCCCCAGTATCATAATATCAATCATTCTCTTATGCAGTACTACAAGATTCCCAAATATCAGCGGCCAGATACTTGTGCAGAAGCTTTCACCTCAGCAAATCAATACGACCTAGATCGAACATACGCTACCATGCCTCGTGAACGAAGACAACGTCCACAGCCTCCTAGACTCCCCCAACCCACATTAGTAACCTCAACAACCTCGAGGACCAGCAGAATTGAGGTTGTTATCCCTAGTCGGCCACACGGCCTCGCTGGCTACACCCGTATAGCACAGCCGGCCGGCGCCCTCGCTCTAGCCACCGTACCACGCAATACAATACAACGTGAAGACACTCCTACCTTCTCCGAGCTCTTGGCGAATACCTCGACCACCTCGATCACTAGTGTGATCGGGGATATCATCCCCGGCCGGACACATAGCCCTGCCGGCCGTGCCCGCGCAACCGCCAGCCGCGCCCGCGCAACCGCCGGCCGCGCCCGCGCAACACAGCCGGCCGGCACCCTCGCTCCAACCACCGTACTACGCAATACGACACAACGTGAAGACACTCCTGCCTTCTCCGAGCTCTTGGCGGATACCTTAACCACCTCGATCACTGGTGGGATCGGGGATATCATCCCCGGCCGGACACATAGCCCTGCTGGCCGCGCCCGCGCAACCGCCGGCCGCGCCCGCGCAACACAGCCAGCCGGCGCCCTCGCTCCAACCACCGTACTACGCAATACGATACAACGTGAAGACACTCCTGCCTTCTCCGAGCTCTTGGCGGATACCTTAACCACCTCAATCACTGGTGGGACCGGGGATATCATCCCCGGCCGGACATACAACCCCGCCGGCCGCACTCGTGCAACTCGGCACCCATCCCCGGGCGCAAGCCAACGAGGACTTGTAACTAGGTATTACTCTCCGAAAATACAACTATTAACACATATATACTTACTTATCTTTGCATCCATCCAGGTCCCGGGAAAGGCGCCCTCCACCTACCAATCCTGAGCCGGCATCGAAGAAGCAGAGAACAAGGGAGAGCCATCGCGGGGCCACCACGGCCGGCAACGAGAACGGGGACCTGAATCCTAATGAGCATTTCAATGGCTTTGGCAACCATTTTGATCCTGAGCAGAGCAACCCGGCGAGCAATCCTGAGCAGAGCAGCCTGGCGAGCGATTCTGAGCAGAGCAGCCCGGCGAGCGATTCTGAGCAGAGCAGCCATTCCCTTCGGCAGAGATCTGAGCCACCAGATGACGAACAGCAGGAATTCCCGGATCATGTCTCTGAGTGGCTTGATGATAACAACGGCCCCGTTAGATGGCAACCACGGCTTCCACCAGCTGCCTCCGTACTGGAGTGGATTCAAGGCGCCCGGGATGGCCGGCACCGGCTCGCCCGCCGCATCATTTACGCACTTCATGTCGGCATAATCCCGTGTCCGGCTCTGGCCCACGCTCGTGATGAGGCAAAACACTTTGGATCATGTAGGCGCCACCGGGGGCTACGGTACACCTATGATATCGAAGGCAGGAGCCATCCCATGAGCGCTGCCGAGATGGATCTTCAACTAGGAATCCATCGCACCGGCGAAGATATCCCAGGCCTTTGGCTAAATAGGGATCGTCTAGCCTTCCCCAGCCCAGGCCGCCTCCAGACCCTCTTCTCCGGACCACTACAAGAGGGCGAGGAGATATGCCTTCACAAGGATGCGCCCTGCAAGCCACCGCTGCAATACTCGCTCAAGGACGTTGATAGCTCTATCGCCATCTTCTCGGACCTGAACTCCTTCCGCGCATCAATCAGTCTTCCAATCATTGCACAGCCTGCCTCACTCTTGCAAAGTTCCATTCACCTCCAATACGAATTAGAGGTCGAGGGGAAGATGACTAAGGTCCCCATTCATAAGATCCCCCACATCTTGTTCGCCACTACCGGTACCCGGTCTCACCCAATCTTCGCGTTCTTCCCAGCAATGTACGAACCCGAGTGTTCAATCTTCCTCAGCGACAAAATGTATGCGACGTTCTATGACCATCTCCTACACCCGGCCCTCGAACAACTCTCATATAGGGCACAGTCAGCAAGGTTTTCCAGTGATGCAGTTTCCCAAACTTCCCAGCATATTCCCCCAAACTTCATCGCGGCGCAGAACGCTTCCAGGGCCAAACTGGAGAAGTCCGGCAAGGGCGGTGGCGCGCATGGGAGTCCGATTGGCATTACCATTAACCCATCGAAAGATACCATGGTCTGGAACCACATGGTGCAGGAACTCGACAACGTCCACGCGTCTCGGGAGTCCACCCTCCTCCAGTTCACCGGCATGTTCTTTCTTTACAATGCCAAGGGTCTGAAACTCGAAACGCAGCGGCAGAGGGTCCTCTCGGAATGTATCGAAGACTTTGCATTCGAACAGGCTGAACACTTCAAAGAGGTTTTGTCTGTCGAGAACCAGAATCGGCAGTACATTGACGTCGCAGCAGAGGTCATGTCAGTCCCCGATGGGAATTATCCGCAAGGCGCGACGCTGCTCGCCAAACGCTGCTGTGTGTACAACACAATGAAATTTGTACTAGATGGGCAGCTCAGGGAATCTCGCAGAGCCAGCAGCCGTCGGTCGGAAAGCGGAAGCGACTCTGACGCCGGGGAAGACGACCAGGCAATAACAGTGGCTAGAGGGCCTCGTGATGCGGCGTTTCAGCCACCCCACATACCGAGGGCCACTGTGACCGAATACCCCATCGGCCTCCTCAGAGATACCGTAACACTTACGGCCGAGCCCAAGCGCAACCACCCCCACACCAACGACGGGCTGATATACTTACAGTCGTATAGCCCGCTCAAGGAGCGAATGGACGCAAAGAAGATCTACCCCTTCTCCCACCCCGGCATCGCCAACCTGGGCTATAGTGAGGCCGACCACAACAGCATCAACATTCTCCAAAGGACAAATAACAACCGGTCAGAGGCAAAGAGCGCAGACATCCGATCCAGAAAGCGTATCAAGGAAGTTCTGAAGCATACCAGAACCGAGAACTTTGGATGGCGTACTGAGTTCCGGGTGACCCTCGGTCTCGCGCACGTCATTTGGGAAGAAGACGAATGCTGGGCAAAATTTCTTGGCGAATTTTCCCAGGAGACGCGAATCCAGAACTCCGGACTATCTACCAGGGTTATCTCCTCAGGGCAAGCGCAAGCTGACGTGAATAACATCACATTCCCCTCTGATGCTTTCCACATCTATAGGACCAACGAGTTCAGGAACTTCTTGCAGGGTAACATCCAGAAGCATCTCATAGTGGTCGACACCATCAGAGCTCTGTATAGTCCCAACCAGGCCACACCATTGGAGGTTGCAAGACTGCATGGGCTGCTTATCCTTGGTCTACGACACTTCATCTCGCATCTCTCGCCAAGTGAAGCCTGGATGCTCAATAACCCGCTTCGCCGTTCCAACCTTGAGACTAGGAAGCCCGGCTTCGGATTACGAGAAACAATGGACCGGTTTGGCTTCGGGTTCTTCCACCACGGCATAGTCGATTGGAGAGATTTCAAGATCTCCAAGGAGTACATCGATAGTGTGACTCTCCCGGGCTTCCAAGTTGTCACAAGATATCTGCCTGTCGTCGAGTACCAGGAAACCCGGTCATTCCTTGACGAGCTTCTCGAGATCATCGACAAACAGACGCCAAGAGAGATTTCCGAATTTGTTCTCGAGAAATGCGTCCACCTCATACTCCAGAACTATCGCCAAGTGGCGTTCCTCAAGTTGCTTGGCCAGAAAGAAAAGCAACCCCCAACGCCGGTTAGTGGCCGTTCTTTCTGTTTGCAGGGGCTACAACAAGAGGCCAGGAAAATCGGTAGGGACGTCGGCATGATCAAGGGCAATAAGTCCTACTTCAAAAAAATGCATACCTTTTTCGTTTGGACGTGGGAGAAGACCGAGATCGGGTTTAAACGGACACATATAGATAAACTATCGTTCCGGACACTCTACCACGTGGCTTCTAGTACTCTCAACGAGAAAGGCAGTTCTTTTGCGACGGTCGAACGATTGACACAGATACTGGCATACCGTTTCTTCGAGCAGCATACCGCGCTGCCATACCCAGATAGCAACGGCTCGATGCAACAAGTAAGCAAGAGCGGGGTACGGATGTTCCTTGTCTTTCAACCTCTTCCGGCTGTCGATGCCGTACCGCGGGCTGAATCGTGGACATCCATCGTGGGAGAAGTCTCTACAGTGACAGATGAGTACGCTATTGTAAGGGCTCCTGCACCAGTGCCCGGTTGTTTAGATAGAATCATCAGCGCCAATACCGCGAAGGCTTGGATTACCCACGGGCAAAGCCTCGCCCACTATAAGTAATAGTTATCTTTCCTATCTCTAATGAAAATCATATTAGGTTAGAAGAGATAGTGTCACGGCGCGCAACGGCCGTAGCACACTATAACCCACTACAGGTTGCAAGTCGACAACTTGCAATTCTGGCATCCTTTTGGGGGTTCTAGCGCAGCGGTAGTGGGTGCTGTGAGCTGGCGCCGTCACAGATAGTATATGAAAATTTCGAGTAATTTAGGGCACCGTTAGATCTATTGTCAATCTCATTATCACTACATAGCTGATTTAAGGTGACAAGGCCCGTAGACATATGGTTGGTTATGCACGAGGAGGTTCAGCGACAGTAATGCACGGGTCAAGTGGTTGACCATTCGAAAAAAATACAGGGAAGGGGAACAAAAAAAGCAAAGAAGGGGAAAATGAAGGAAAAAAAAACCAACCACCCCCGGGGAAATAAAAGGTAAGATTTGAAGAAAGGAAGGCAGAAGCAGAATAGAAAATCAATTCAATACCAACCGACCAACCAACCGACTACGTACCCACCAATTCAGGTTATTCAGCATTTAAACGGAATTATGGAGTTGTTTAATAACTTGTTTATACTTTCCCCCGATTACTGTTTGGCGATTTGCCGCGAGCATCATAGTGCGGTAACGGCAGGATCGATGGCGTATCACGTCCATTCGCAATACCGCCGTATAGTCAAGAAAGTGCGCCAACGCGTCGCGAGGAGGCGGGCAAGTTAGAGAAGGGTGGCACGTTGGCAGCCGGCGTCCATGGGATCCAGTTCCCGACTGGAATTGTGCCATCGATTAGGCCGTTGCCCGTTTGGAGCGATGGCAAGAAGTGCACGCGATGGGGGCACATCCGGCAAACCAAGCAAGATATTCAGAAGCATTGCCGAGACGAGCATGGATGGGTCAACCCGCGGGGGCAGGGCGGGAAAGCCGGGGCGAGAGCAGTAGGCGGCATGGGCGAGGTGTGGGTAGACAGCGTGTATTGCCAGCGGTTCGGGCAAACAGGGGCATTGCAGCGGTTGTTTGAGGTTGTGCCAGCGGCCGATACGGAGGGCGGGGTCGGCAGGGGAAGCAGCCGAGTTGGCACCACGGAGTACAAGGTAATTATGACGCAGTTCGAAGAGTTGGCCAAGGCAATAGAGGAAGGGGACAAGAAAGCGGCGGCATTGACCCACGACCAGCCCAGGTTGTCAGCCAATATGTGGATCCGGCGGACGGGTTGGATCCGGCGGACGGGTTGGATCCGGCGGACGGGTTGGCCCCGGCATTTACGATGGTTTGATCGCGAGTGGTTAACGGGAACGACGCGGCGGCCAGACGCAGACGGTGGACAAAACGCAGGTGATGATAAAAGGGGGGGTGTAGAGGGGGGCGGGGACGAAGCAGGCGGCGAAGCAGGCGGGGACGAGGAAACCCAGGAAGAAGCAGGTAGGGACGAAGCAACCCGAGAAAAAGCGTTGGCCAGGGTATTATTGGCCATCGAGAGGGTAATTTGGCGGGCCCAAAAAGCATCGCGGGCCGAGATGGTCGGGTCGGCCACGGTGAATTACATCGAGAGGCGAGAAGCCGGAGAGCAGTCGAACGAGAAACCGTTCAATTCGGGCCAGAAAGGCCAAACGATGGAGGGGTATAGCGAGTCATGGAAATCGATAATGGCGTACGTGTGGCGGACGCAGCATTTAGCAGTGGCCGAGGAAAGAGAGGCCGAGGTAGAGGCCGAGGGAGAGAAGAAGAGGAGGGAGAGGAGGGCGAAGCGATAGACGCGCGGGGACAAAATGGTAATACAGGTTCCACAGACGCCAGCCAGGAAGGGGGGATCCGCAACAAACGACCGGCATACCATTTAACGCAACGCCAAGCAGACAAGTTCACGCAATTGCAAGAAGTCGCGTATATAGCGACAATAGCGCATATACAGTTAGAGGAAGATAGCAACGGCAACGGCGACAAAGAAGAAGACGAAGACGATACGCAACAGTTAGAGCGTTGCGTATTAGCATTTTTTTATTTCATTATTAGACCATGATGTGGGCAACAACGAGTATCAGAACGCATGATATAGCGGGTTGGCCGTGTTGGGGATCCACGTCGGGCACGGTTGGAAGAGCGCGTCGATATATACGCCCACGTTATCGGCAATCGTGACGGTGGCCCGTATGTTGGTATTATATACGGCCAAGCGGGGGCGTGAGGAGGAAATCCAGAACAGGATCCGGGCGAGCGGTGAGAGCGAGCAAGAGGCGAGACGTAAGGCGCGGAGCCATTTGACCGCGTCCAGGGGATGGTGCAGCGTTTCATGACCATCATAGCATATAATGGCCGGCCGTCGCCAATGGATTCGATATTGCGGTTGCGGACATACGGCAAAGCGATCCGGGCAAACACAAACGCAGACGGCGTGGTGGATTAGCACGGGGACGAGTTGTTGTACGGGCATGTGCAGATCAGCATGTCGTCGTTGCGGATGATGATACACGGGTTGTTGCACACGGCAAGGGGGCAGTTACGGCGGGAAATGTTGTTGTTGGAGACGGACGACGAGGGCGAGGTAGTAAAAGGGTCGACGGCGAGCGAGGCGATGAAGTCGTTTCGGGCACAATTGTTGGTATTAATGCACATGAGCGGCGGGCAGCCGGCGCGGGGGACCGAGTTAGTTACGGTCCAGTATAAGAACGGGGCGGACGGGGATACGCGTGGGTTATTTGTCGAGGACGGGTTGATGGTATTCGTGACAATGTACAACAAGACGATGGGGATGAGCGCAAAGGGAAAGGTGATCCACCGGTATTTACCGCGGGAGGTGGGCGAGTTGGTGGCGTATTACGTGTCGTTGGCGGTTCCGTTTTGGAGGGTAGTGGTCAGGGGCGCAAGCCGAGGTTCGGCGGATTGGGGCAGCCCGTATGTATGGGAGCCGCAGAAAGAAAGCGCATGGGCGTTCCCCACGGCGGTGAAGAGGAAGCCAACAGATGCAGGGCGACCGCAAGGTACGGTTGGGAAAAGGAGGAGAATACGGGAACGGTCACCCCGGGGTCGAGGGTACCGTACGAGCCGGGCAGGAGAGAGAAGAGAATGGCGACGGGAGGGGCAAGAAAGGAGCAGGGAAGAGACAACGGGCGAAGATAGGGAAGAGAGGGGCAAGAAAGGAGCAGGGAAGAGACAAGTGGCAAAGATATATAACAAATGAGCCAGCAGCATCATCATTTATGGTAGGTAGAGCGATTTGGTACGGACCGGGTAGGAAGAGAGATTGGGCGGGTGGGATTGAGTTATATTGGAGAAAAATTATGAATCATGGTATAGAGGCATGCGGTAAAGTTAATTTACCGGCGGTGCATGAAAGATAAGTCAATTATGGATATTGTCCATAATGCGGATACGACGGATGGCGGGAGGAGAAGGACGGAGCGAGAGATGTAGGAGACCCATTCCACGGGTAGAGCGGACACGGGGTACGCATAGGAGAGGGGATTTATGGGCGGTCAGTCAGCGAGTCGTTATTCAGTACGGAAGCAAGGCGGTTAGGGTTCCGGCGGATTAGCCAGGAGTGGCATAGGATTTGCATGTTTGGTTCGGCCGTGGAGTGGAACAGCGGGCGGCCACACGAGTGGGCATTGGTCGTGTTAGTAACGCCGGGGTCGGCGGTGGGAGAGAGTTTTGGGCATTTCGTCAACCGGCAACGGGCGATGGCGTCAACCGGCAACGGGCGATGGGACGGTTGGACCGGATCGTGGTAGACGAGTGCCACGTCGTATTAGATTCGGGGGTCGGGGGCAGTTGGCGGTCCCGGATGTTGGGGTTGCATGGGTTAGTCAAGGCGGAGACGCAATTGGTATATTTGACGGCAACATTACGGCCGGCGGACGAGCAGGTATTCAGTCAGTAGGTTGGGTTGCCAGAGACGGGGCACATTGGTTCCACGGAAGAGGAAGAGGAAGAGGTATTAGCAAGATTGGTGGCGGAGAAGAGGTGGTACGGGACGCGGGAGAAAATTATCGTATATTGTAATACAGTAAAGAAGCCAGTCCAGTATGCGAAAACGTTAGGGGGTTTTGTTACCACCGCGGAGTCGGCAGCCAGGACGAGAAGAAGGGGATTGCACGGCAGTTACGATAGGGACAGCAGCAGGTATTTGTGACAATCAATGCGTTGGGGTTGGGGGTGGATGCGCCGACGATCCGAGTGGTGATACACGTGGGGTTGGTGCGGCGGTTACGGGATTATGCGCAGGAGAGCGGGCGGGCAGGGCGAGATGGCAAGCGAGGCAATCATTTTGCGAGGGGTGCAGCCAGCAGGGGAGAGGTGGCAAAGCGTTAAAGGAGACGGCAGAGCAGACAGAGGGTAAGCGGGTAGAGAAGGGTTTGTGCGAGTTTATGGAAACGCAGAGTTGCGTCCGGGGGGTATTGGACGGAGAGATAGAGGGGCGGAAAGAGCGGGCAGGTTGCGAAGACGGGGAGGAGGCGTGTTACCGGTGTCAAGCACGGGAAACACGTTGGGTAACGGGCGAGGGAGAGGCGGAGGGTATAATAGAAATAGTAGCAGAAGAGGCGGAAGAGGCAGAAGAGGCAGAAGAGGCAGAAGAGGTGGAAGAGGCGGAAGAGAGAGAAGAGACAGAAGAGAAAGAAGAGACGGAAGAGGCAGAAGGAGCAAAGGGGCGGAAGAAGAGGAAGAGGCGGAAGAAGAGAAAGAGGCGGAAGAAGCGGAAGAGGCGGCGGAAGAGGCGGCGGAAGAGGCGGCGAAAGGGGAGGTAGCAGATCCACAAGGGGGGAGCAGAGTACAAAGCGAGTAAGATCAGGGGAGAGCAATGACAGGGTTAGATATGGAGATATACCATGGACGGACAAAGACGCGCAGGCAGGGTTGGGACAAGAGGAAGCGGCAGGCAGAAGAGGCATCGGAGGTCGAGCATTTAAGAGAGATGTTGGTGCAATGGGCGACGGGTTGCCCGTGGTGCCGAGCAATGGGGAAGGAGAAAGTGGTTTATGGTAGTCACGTGTTGGAAGCATGCAGGGAGAGAAATGCAGAGGGGGTTCGAGAGATGGTGAAAAGGTGAAGCAGAGAATATGGTGGGAGAAGTATTTGTGTTGTTTTGATTACG